ACAAGATGAGACCATATAAGGGGCCACCTCCGGTTGGTTACGAAGATGAGGTTTACGTCCTAACCGAAGGCAGGAGACCGCCGGTTAGGAACCTCAATGGGAGCTCATAAGTGGTAGCACCGGGGACGGCGCTAAAAGGACGAGGGGGCTATGTAATACTTATGTTGTTTTAATGTGCCTTTCAGGGAGTCGGCAAGCAGGAAATTCGAACCTGGTAACTGGATCGCCCTCTCCCTTCCCTAGTGACTGCGGCTCCCCTCCTTCTTGAACATTGTATTTTCCCTATACATCTTGTCGTCTTTAATAAAGATGTCCAAAGTAAACCAATCGGGCTTGTCTAGGAACGCTAGGAATCGGGAAGCGGAGACCGAGGAGTCTCGCTCCACATCTACCATTTAGACCCCACCATGTTCAGAATTTACGAGTTTCTGACGATTTTCCCGCATTTCAAGATGAAAGCGACCAGAATCTACCTTTGCTATAAGGTACTTGTCTAAATATGCCTAATGCTAGTACCTTGATCGTTTCTCCCTGTCAGTATTTTTTAGTTGAAATTTGTTCACTGTATATAAATTGCTGCTCAACTCCACTGCTAAGTACTTACTTGCTTTATTGTTGAATAACTAAACACGTGTCGTTATTTGCGCTAAATCTAGTGGAAATATTTGGATTACTGATCAAAACCATTCTTTGTATTCGCCAAAAATGGCACTATTTTGGCAGTCTTTGTGCCAACATGCTGTACGGTGTACTTATAATCAATTTTTTAAAGCTCAGAGATTAATTTTGGTCTTAGAGTAGGCATTCATTTAGCCTTAAAAGGTGGTTGTTTGCGTTTGGGCAAATCAGTTCAACAAATACTAGTGACCTTTGTGCTCGCAAATTTTCGTAAGGCGTTAACTTCTGTCTATATAAAAAGCGACTTTCATTGCAGTTGCCAACACCGTGGTTGGCATCTCCACTCCCTTATCACACATTTTCCTCTCCGACCTAGACAACATCTTTGATTCTCCTACTCTTGGCTGTTTTAGTATCGTTATTCAGAGAATGGCCACTTTGGGTGTCGTTGCCTTCGTAGTCGCTTAGTGCTTAGTGACGAGCAGCTCAGTGAGAGGAGAATGTCTTCATTAGTGAGGGCAGTGCTGCGCGTGTGTTGGGAAGAGGAATGCGTGAGACGAGATGTTCTTAGTCATAAACTGGAATGGAATGCGTGATTTTTTATATTTTAGCTTTTCTCTATTCTTATTTTAACTAGTTTTTTGATATGCCTTTTTTTATTACTTTTGTTAGAGCCTAACTGCCCTTTTTTTTCTTATTCTTTGAATTGCTTTTGCAATTTTTGGGATTTATTTTGCGTATTTTATTTTTTTTTTCATTTCCCATTTTTTTCTCCTTTGATGATTTTTTAAATATTTTTATTCCTTTTTAACTTTTTCTTACTCTTTTTTTTCTTACATTCTTTGTCTTTTTTCACAATCCTTCCACCTTATATTCCCTGAAGTTTTTTATTGTCCATGTGGTTCTCCTTTACGATATTTTTTCTCTGCACGTCTGCTTTCTTTTCAGTTTGTTCTTTACAGATGCTTTAGACTCTTTCCCTACTGATACCTCAATTAAGTAGCCGTTAGAGGATACCCTAATCACTTTTCTTCCTTAACACTCAATATTGCACAATCTGTCCTTACTATCATAGTGATGCAGATGTCTAGTAGATAAGCAGGGTTTGGTGAGACTACCCAATAATGGTTAGTTGCCTCATGGTGGAGTGGATGGTTGTGGAATAGGGTAGTGTGATTCAAATTGGATAAAAGTGCCATATGAAACAGACTATCTGAACAAAAGAAAGAATTTGTGTGCAGGGAGTCAACGTTTAGAGTAGTGTTAGGCCTAAACTTAATGCTTCTAGCAACTAATAGTTGTTTTTAATAATTTTAATAAAAAAATTTTAATAGTTGTATGGTTGGTAGCAAATATAATGACCGCATATTCTCAGCTAACCCATAGGCAAAGTACGAAAACCCAGACCAGGTGTATGATACTTCTTTCACCCGTCAAAAATGATGGAAGTGTGTAGATGGATGGGGTTTACTCATCCATTTGAAGCAATAATTATTATATAGGAAAGTGACCTTATTCTAAAAATTTTCTGAGCACAGATATCGAGTGGATTGAAGGAACAAATAATGGGATAGGAGGAGCGACATGAGGTCTTTCAATTGTTCCACAATCAGGTCACCCTCACACTCAGGTGTCATTCCTTGGAATATGGATTTGAGTGAAAGTTCTGCAACCAAGCTTGGGACAATTTGCAGTGTCCGTCATGCACTTAGGCTAGCCAGACTTGTCAGCACTCCACCTGTCCGACTCCACAAATGAAAAAGGAACTAGGATTACTCCCTGTAGCATTCACTGACCTCTTCGTTGTCAATGGTTATTCGGGGGTGGCAAAAGGAAGCGTGGATCACCCAAGGAAGAAAGGTTCAAATCCGACCCAGGAGCGAGTATGAGATACTAAGGCCATCAAAATATGCATTACACTTGGATGGTTATCTTTGACCAAGTAAACTGTCACGTGCCAACCATTCGAAACTGTGGTGCCTAATTGACGATATTAAATGGTGTTTGTTTAACCCCGAGAATTTCCGAAGGCATGATAAGAAAATGGGCAGTCCAAAAGTGTAATCGCATCACATATAGGCCTTCTGTGGTCGATGCAGTGACCGACAAACAAA